CATTGCCCTCGTCGTCTTCTTCTCATTCTTTTGTCCTCCAGGGTAGGACTTTTACCTTCAAGTTCAACTTTATGCTTTTAATTGTCCCTGTCTCCTTGGAATTATTCTCTGAGCTTCAGTGAACAAACTATATGAAAAGCTTTTAAAAATTCCCAACCCAAGTTGGGCACAGTGGCTCATGCCTGTAATCCCAGCACGTTGGGAAGCCAAGACAGATGGAATCACTGGAAGTCAGGAGTTCAAGACCAGCCTGGCCAACATGGTGAAACCCTGCTACAAATACAAAAATTAGCTGGGCATGGTGGTGTGTGCCTGTAATCTCAAGTACTCAGGAGTCTGAAGCAGGAGAATCACTTGAACCCAGGAGGTGGAGGTTTCAGTGAGCTGAAATCATGCCAACACACTCCAGTCTGGGCAACAGAGCAAGACTCTGCTTCAAAAAAATAAATAAATAAAAATAAAATCTATCCTAACCTCTTTCTAACTGGCTAAGAACATCCCTGGCTAAAGGGGAGGAGATAGCTTGTGATGGATATTTGAGGTTTCTGAAATGGAGAGACTGGTTTTATAAGGCAGCAAACCATGCTTCCCTTCCTCTCTTATGCTGGCAATGGTGTGGAGCCCAAGAAGCTTGGAACAGACAAGACAGTGATTCCCAGATCTGGATGGGGAATGGTGTTGGCTGGTGACAGTGCCTCCGTCCTTCTCCGTTCCTGAATGGAACCTATCCAATGACCAACAGCATGCTATCTCCCCACACTCCAGGGCCAGCCTTGGGAGGGGAAGTAGGAACTAGGAAAAAACTATAAAGCAGCTGCAATTGCTTTAAAAGATCTTCCTGGTGAAATCCAAGATGTCAGAAAATCCATGGTATTAGTGATCAGGGAGATAAGGGGATATTTTGGTTAACAAACCAGATAGACCAATTTGTAATAGAACAAATACTTGCTAACATCCATATGGAGTAAAACAGGGGCTGCCCTCCTCTACTTGAGTTCCTAGAGTCTGGATCTAGTCACCTTAACAGGATGGAGTACAGTTCTTCCTTTGCCTCTTAGGGTGGGTAATTGGAAAAATTCCTATGTGAACCTGAGATTTTCTTGATGCTTGCCTACCACGGATGCCATGGTGAAGTTTTTGCTGTCGTTTGAATGATATCCTGGGATTTGAGGGCCTTTCCACTCATATCTGATAACTTTCTAGATCCTTGGCTTCCCAGAGTGCTGGGATTACAGGCATAAATCACCATGCCCAGGCAAGGATTGTAATCAAGGGATACTTGGATGCCAAGCTCTTGGGCAGCCTGATGTAGAACAGAATCGCGTACTCAGTACTCAGCGTGCATGCAGCCACTTCGCACCTCTTCAGCCGTGGCAAGCTTTGCTCATTGATCACAACACACATTCTTCCTGTTATCACTCACACATAGCTTCGTAATCCCTCTCCTCACAGTGCACCAAGTAGCTACCATCAACGTTTAAGTGGCACAAGAGAGGAGAGTTTGGCCATGAGTGTCATGCTGGGAGAGAAAGGCAGGGATTCGAGGCCACCCCCAGCCTACCCGATGTGAAGGGCCATCCCCTATTTAACAACTGTGTAACCCAGGAGTGTGTTCCATAGCCACAGGTGGCCTCCTTTGGAAAATGATCTCTTCAGCTGCAAAAGGAGTTTTTATCTCCCCGTTAAGGGAGGGGGTGGACTACATTCCCTCAAGCCTGGAGAAACTGTTTGTAATTTGACTCCCATTTCCCCAAGCTTAGCTATTATATAAGCTGCTTTAGAAGACAGGCTGTTTGGTTTAGCACCGTGCCTGTGACTGACTAATGTGTTTGTAGACATCGCATCGGCTTTGTGTGTGCCCCTGTCCTTGGCACCCTTGTTCCCATCCCCTAAGGCCTTCTCCACACTGCTGTATTTACCCACAAGTGTGTGGGCCACCGCAGGTTCAAGTTCTTGTGGGGAAACTCAGCGTGGAAGACTGGTGTGTTCATGGGTATTCCTTTACCTGTTTGAGCTGTAGCCTCCTTGAAGTTTTCTTGGAGCTGAGCCTGAGTGCGGCTTCACCCTGACAGGCAGAACCGATCCAAATTGTCAATCAGTATCTGCTTAAAATGGTCCTTGCAAGTTGTGTAGCCTGGTGGTTACCAAATGCTGGTGCAGATATGCATGATAGAGCGCTTACTCCCAATACGATGCCATCCCCTGCAGGCCAGGAATGGGGCTCACGGGACTTCACGGGACCAGTCCCACCTGCCACCCAACATAGACCTCTAAAGGCCATGGAGTTCCTGGTAGTGGGGACTCCAGCATCATGCCATCGGGGGGCTTTGTTGAATTGTCACTGTTAGTTTATCCTCATTCCAGGCTGATCCTAGTTGTTGTTTTAAAAAATTATTCATGTGTTTATTTTTTAATTGTCACCCAGGCTGGAGCGGAGTGGTGTGATCATAGCTCACTGCAGCCTCGAATCCCTGGGCTCAAGTGATCCTCCCACCTCAGTCTCCCAAGTACCTGGGGCTAGAGGCACACGCCACCACACCTGGGTAATTTTATTACTTTTTTTTTAGAGACGGGATCTTGCTATATTGCCCAGCTGTGGATCCCACTTCTTCATATTGTCTGTACATGAGTCTCACTCTGCTCTCCAGAGGCCTGGAACAAAGCCAATTCTTCCTCGATGCCTTTTGTTAACACCTGGTCCTCTGCTCCCAATATGGCCCAGCCAGTTCAGACAGAGGTCAGCCAGGCTGTTATTGTTCCACTGCTGGACATGATGACACTATTCTTTTCCTGGGACAGCTCAAGATGTATGAGTTGTTTCGTCATTCTTTGTTCTTGTTGAACTTGTGGTTTTTGAATCCTGCCTCCCCTACCTCCAGGCTCCCCAATACACACAAAGTCCTGCCTGCCAAATGGGGTTATAGTCAACGGGCTTCAGGGGACAGGGACAAGTCAGACATCTGAATGAAGGGGTACAGGTGGGAGAACTGGAGTTACGGAGGAGGCCTGTGGGGATCTGAGTATCAAAACTGATTTAAAACCAGGAGCTTGGTCTGGATGACAATGCCCAAAGTCTAGAAGTTCCATCCTAGCAGGAGTAGGACAGTCAGTCCACAAAAATCCCATGAGAATGAGATTGGGGGAGACAACAGTGATTTCTAATTCAGGTATTTGGAGCACCAAGGGCCTCAGAAGTCTCTTTGCTCATGAGTTAAAGCATCTTTATGCTGGAAAAAAAAATGATGCTATTATTCAAAGAAGTGTGTTGTGGGAGGGCGGGGGCGTACATCCTTTAGGAGAGAAAGTAGGTCCCGAGTGAGATCCCAGGAGTAGGGAAGCCAGCGCTGTTTGTTTTGTTTTCTTTTTTCCCTCGTGCTCAATGGTACAGGAAACACAAGGAAAAAAGGACCCATTGCCTTCCTCCAGGCTGCTGCCAACATTGTGTAGAGAAGAATAGCTGAAGAACATGAAAACAAATCTTCACATTTTCTTTTAACAGTGTGAACTTTGAAATACTTTCTGACTCATATTTTAAAATCTCTCAAATTTAAATTCACCTTCCTTTGTGTTGTTTTTCTTAAGGCACTAGGCTTGACTCCAAAGATGTGTCAACTGGCTGCTCCCCCAGAATTAAGGAGTCACAAAGCCTGGGCTCCCTTCTCCCAGCTGTGTGGGCAGGGTTTCTCTGAGCACCTGGCTTTGACCTTTCTACCCTTCCTCAAAGCTGGGCCTCACCTTGGCCTGAAGAGCCAAGAAATAACCACTATAGGGGGAAAGGAGATATTTGGTAATATGCCTCAGCAAGAGGCCATTCGTCTTGCTACAAGATGAAATAGGGATCCCTCTGGGGTCCCTATTTCTGCACCCCTAAAATTATCATTGTTGTCTCTCAGGATACTTTTGGCTATAGGTAGCAATATCCCATTCAACTGGCTCAAATAATACAGGGGCTTTTGTTGGCTTGGATAACTGAAGTCCTGAGACCCCTTAGTTAAAGGACCCTGTTTCCCTCTGGTGACTGCCAAGCACTGGCTTCATCCAAAAGCCAGCATCCTGCAGGGATGGCAGCAGCGTGGCTTCCAAGAGCAACTGGGCTTTATGCTCCCAGTTCACAAGTTGTGAGAAGAGAGAGCTTCTGATTGGGCCAGCTCAGGACACGTGCCTAGCCCCAACCAATCACTGCAGCTGGGCTCAGGCAGCTACTGACAAGCTCTGGCCAATCAGGACCCAGCACTGGGTAATAATGTGGGAATACACAGATCACCACCAAACCAGTGCCTCTGTAGTTTTCCCAGAGGTATATTTATTGCCCCAAACAACACTCTTATAATACTCTTCCTTCTTATTTGTGGGTGGGAAGTGTGAGGGGTTCTGTAGTACATCTTGCCCACTCCCTTGGCTCCACCTCTCCACCCAAACCTTGCCATACTTTCTTGCCCTTCTTGTAAAGGCTCAGCCCTCTGGAGCTAAGTCTCTGCCTCCCCAGATGTGCACTGACTCTTTGGGGTCAATATGAAGTTCAGGCTTTGTCAGACAATAGGGGCTGAGTTAAAGCTCTGCGGGAAGAGGTGAACACACCTCATTGGCCTGTTTCTGCTTCCCCAAGGGTCAAGTGCCTTGGCCTCAGACTTCCTGCTGGCCACAATCAAACTATTTTGGTTTATCCACCCAGATGTTAGAAAAATTAAGTACCCTGCCCTATTTCCCCTTGCCTCTGATTTCTCTTCTCATATCACACATACTTCCTGGATGACTTCACCTGACCTGGCCTCCACAGACCCCTCCCCCAGATATCTTGCCAGTCCTGGACACTCTGTTGACTTGTGGGCCCATATATCCTATCTCTGCAGGATGGTCTGTCTGGATTTTCCAATGCTGGGCTTGCTATATCTCCATGGAGCTGGTTTTCCTCCAAATGAGGTCTTCCTTGGGGATCCCCTTTAATTTTGATGATAACCATTGCTCTCACAGATCCTGGCAGTTTGGGCTTCGTTCCCATCACCCTCTGGGGCTTTCTCTGGAAGTGTGGATAGGTAAGCCCAGATCTCATGAGGAGGCCAGTCTGCAGCCCATTGGAGCCATGGCTGCCCCAGCACCCAGGCCAGTGCCCTGTCTTGGGGCCACCCAGCTGCTGCATTTTCAGCACCATGGCAGTTCTTTAATTAGATCAAGCAGGGTTTTCTCAGACAGGGGTGGGAGGAAGTGTGTGGGTCTATTGGGGGAAACTAGGTCACCTGAAAACCAGTAATCAAGAGGGAGCTGTCCTCGAGCCCCAGCTCCAAGGAACCCAGAGGGGCGAGGTGGGAGGAGCCAGCGGGGAGGGCCAAGTCAGAGAAAATGTGCCTCTGGCCCCTTTTACTGGCCCTTGGGAGACTGTGTTCTCACCTTTTCTCCAGGGGGCTGGGCAACTGCCCTTAATTCCTTTGCTGGGAGTAGGGAGGACACTGCAGTGGTGCCTGCCTTCTCTCTGCCTGGAGCCTGCCGTCCTGGGGCGCATGGAGGGAGCACTGTGCTGTGAGTCAGGCCCCAGGTTTAGTTACTGCTCAGTCTCTGTATCCATGGAGCACGTCACCCAGTTCTGTGTGTCTATGCCATCCATCCACTGCACAGGGACTGTGTCTGTCTTTACCCTGCTGCCTCTGTAGCTCTGAGCATAGGCCTGGCATGTGGCAGATGCCCCCTAAATATTTGTCAAACAAAATAATGAGTTTAGATGAGTGTTTCTCTTATAAGATTATTGTCACAAGGATCAGTGGCAAGACGGTTTCCCAAATGTCAGTCACTTACACATTTTGCCAATACTAAGTGCCGTCATCATTAAATTTTTCTTTATTATCAACTTGCTAGTTTTCAACTAAAATAGATTTGTTTAAAAAGGAAATTTCATATCACAACCACAAACAAACAGTAACTGTGAAAACAAATCCACAAGAAACAAAATAATATTACATTCTAGATACAGTGGCTTGCCCAGGCCAGGAGTCTGAGACCTGCTTTCTCTTTGTTTACAAGGGGAATTGTCATGGTTATAAAGATGTTAAGGGTCTATTAGCCTCAGACTGACACTTTTCTCTGGAGAAAGTCTGAAAGATTAAAAGAGAAGTGAAAAGCATATATACTCTGCTCTCTGTGTGGGTCCATGTTATGTCAACACTTGTTCTTGTACTTTTGAAAATTTCCTTGGAGTGGATTCTCCTTCCACAGGGAAGCACTTGGCTGACGTGATGGCTGGGGAAGTCCTTTGAAAGGGATAAAGTGCTTTAACAGTGTAAGTGATTGGCACCACTGCTCTTATCTTTACTTTTAGCATGTTTTTGGTACCTCTTCCTAACAATGAAGAAATGAGTAACTGTGTACATAATCTTAGGACTGAAAGACATCTCACAGAATACTTAGGCCAATCTGACACGGGTGGAATTTTTTTTTTTTTTTTTTTTTTGAGACGGAGTTTCGCTCTTGTTACCCAGGCTGGAGTGCAATGGCGCGATCTCGGCTCACCGCAACCTCCGCCTCCTGGGTTCAGGCAATTCTCCTGCCTCAGCCTCCTGAGTAGCTGGGACTACAGGCACGCGCCACCATGCCCAGCTAATTTTTTGTATTTTTTTAGTAGAGACGGGGTTTCACCATGTTGACCAGGATGGTCTCGATCTCTTGACCTTGTGATCCACCCGCCTCGGCCTCCCAAAGTGCTGGGATTACAGGGGAATTTTTTTTAAGATGGAGTCTCGCTCTGTTGCCAGGCTTGGGTAGAGTGGCACAATCTCAGCTCCCTGCAATCTCTGCCTCCCGGGTGCAAACGATTCCCCTGCCTCAGCCCCCCAAGTAGCTGGGACTACAGGCACCACCATGCCTGGCTAATTTTTTTATATTTTAGTAGAGACGAGGTTTCACCATGTAAGCCAGGATGGTCTCGATCTCCTGACTTCATGATTCGCCTGCCTTGGCCTCCCAAAGTGCTGGGATTACAGGCGTGAGCCACTGCACCTGGCCCACAGGTGGAAATTTTATCCTCCATTGAGTGATGGGGAATTTACCACCTCCTGAGGCAGACATTAATCATGAGCACCTTTGTCGAATTGCTGGTTGGACAGCTCTGGAGGCTGATGTCTGTTCTTGGAGTGCAAACAACTGCTTCCTTGTACTTCCTTGTTCCTCCAAATGAGGTCTTCCTCGGGGATCCTCTTTAAGGGTTGATGGTAACCGTTGCTCTCTCAGGTCCTGGAAGTTGGGCTATGTTCCTGTCACCCTCTGGATCTTTATCTGGAAATGTTGACAGGTGAGCCCAGGTCTCATGGAGAGGCCAGTCTGCAGCCCATTGGAGCCTGGCTGCTGTGGGCTGCCCCAGCACCGAGGCCAGTGCACTGTCTTGGGACCACCCAGCTGCTGTGTTCACCCTGCTCTGTGTTGGGGAGACTCACAGGCTATCTTTCTTTTCTTGTGCAGATTGGAGTTCTGGTTATTTGGAAACTGCTGTCTTGTTCTGCCTAAGATAGAGCTTGTAAACTCAAATGACATTGGAGCTGGCAAATGATGTCAGTAAGGGCCGTCAGGTGGGAGTAATGGGGAGCATTGGGGACTATGGTGAAGGAGAGGGTATGTGCCCTATCTAAAGGGGACAGCCCAACTCTACATCAGTTGATGGCGATGCCATGTGAGCCCACTGTGGCCACATACCAAGATATTCTAAGAAAAGCTGAACCCCAGTGTTGGATATGGAATCTCCAAGTTGTCAATGTTAGCAATGAATTAAAATATTGTAAAACGTGATGTGGACTATGACCAAACAAACCAACAAACATGATGTGGATCATGGGGGGCTTTCTGGCTAGGCCTGGCCCACAGCCACAAGTGGCTCATCCCTGCCAACAAGACATCTCTGCTCCCTTTGGGCTGGGTAGCCACGTCCTCTTCCAGCCATGTTTGTGCATGTTGGTTGCCAGAATTCCCTCCACTGTGGTCAGCCACTCTGCACGCCTTTGAACGCTGCCTAACTCCCTCTCAGCTCATGTCTGCTCCTTTCATCTGGTGAAATCCTACTTATGCTTTGAGATTCAAATCCATTGTCCTGTATTCTGGAGAGCCTTCCTGGAGAACCCCAGGCAGACTGGCTCTTCCATTGTCTAGCTGTGGTATGTTGGGTAAATTACTTAATCTCTCTGTGCTTTAGTTTCCTCATCTGGAAAAGGGGCATGATAGTACCTAGTACTACTATTTTATTAGGTTACTGGGATAATTAAGTGGATTTATAAGATAAACTGACAGACAGAAGGCCAAAGTGGTCCCTATCCATCTCTGAATTAGGGCTTGTCACAGAGCAGGACTTCATTAAATGTTTGCTTACTTGAGGAAGTGGAGTGAAATAAACTTATGGTCTGCTAGCTTCCAGAGACGTCTAACTATAATAATGATACTGTGTGGTTGTGCATTCAACTCTTTTGAATGCCTTACTTCTAGAGAAGCAACCAAGACATCTATCTAACTGGCTAAAATAGAAAGCAGAGACAATCCCAAATGCTGGTGGGGAACTGGATCACTCATACATTGCTGGAGGGCATGAAAGCAGCACAGCCACTCTGGAGAACAGTTGGGCAGTTTTCCTTTGAAAGTAAACATGAACCAGGCACAGTAGCTCATGCCTGTAATCCCAGCACTTTGGGAGGCCGAGGTGGGCAGATCATCTGAGGTCAGCAGTTTGAGACCAGCCTGGCCAACATGATGAAACCTCATCTCTACAAAAATACAAAAATTAGCTGGGCATGATGGCAGGTGCCTGTAAACTCAGCTACTTGGGAGGCTGAGGTGGGAGAATCACTTGAACCTGGGAGGCAGAGTTTGCAGTGAGCCAAGATCATGCCATTGTACTCCAGCCTGGGTGACAGAGACAGAGCGAGATCCATCTCAAAAAAAAAAAAAAAAAAGTAAACATGCAATTACCATATGCCTTATCACTTGAACTCTTGGGCATTTTCTCCTGAGAAACAAAAGCTTATGTTTACACAATCCGTAGATGAATGAAACAGCCTTAAATTGGAAACAGTGCTGATGTTCTTCAATAGGTAAATGGTTAAACAAATTGGGGCCATCCATAAAATGGAATACTACCCAGCAACAAAAGGAAAAGCACTATTGATGCATGCAGCAATGTGGATGAATCTCAAAGGAATGATGCTTGGTGAAAAAGCCAATCTTCAAAGGTTATCTGCTATCTGATTCTGTTTATATAACATTTTCTGAAATGACAAAATTCTAGAGATGGGGAACAGATTAGTAATTGCCAAGGCAGGGACAGGAGTGGGTTGGAGGGGGAGCTTGGAGAAGGAGATAGGTGTGGTTATGAACTGTGGTGGTAGATACATTGATACGATTGCATAAAACAAAACTCATCCAAATAAGTACATGTAAAATTGGGGAAATCAGCATAAGGCTGGTGGATTGTATCACTGTAAGGTTTCTGGCTGTGATTTTGTATAGTAGTTTTCAAGATGCTACTACTGGGATAAACTGGATGAAGTGTACACAGGATCTCTCCAGACTATTTGTTGTAGCTGCCTGTGAATCTACAATGACCTAAAATAAAAAGTTTAATTAGTTGAAAGTGCCTTGCAAGTATATTCAAAACAAAAATCAAAACAAAACAAAAAACAAAAGGCAACCAAAGCCAGCTAGCTTGTCTCCTGCTGAGTCTTGCCATTGGTTTATTTATGCTGGAGGCCATACCCACTCAGACCCCAGGACTTTTGCTGTTTGGGCATTGCCAAGGCAACCCCTTTCCCATTCTGCCTGTTTGCTCTCCAGCCTCTGGGCTGGAAGACGCGTGAAGAATGATCTGGATCTGACCCAACCTGAGCACCTGAGGATTTAGCCTGAACCCTGTTCGTCAGCTTCTGTAGAGAGGGCTTTTGGAGGGGCGGGTGACATGGGTGACCCAGGAGATTAACAATGCTTCCTGAAAACAACCAGGGGCTAACCCAATACTCTTTGAGACATCAGGCCGCATCACACAGATGTAGACTCCTTACCCAACAACCCAAAACCAGCCTTGCCTGTTGGTTCGCAGACATGCAGCACTTACATCTCCCTACCATTCCTCCTCTGAGCTTGTGTCTCATTGCTTAGGTGTCTTAATATTTTGGACCAGCTCTTTTTTTTAAAAAAATTTTTATTTTTTTGTAGAGACAGAGGTCTTGCTATGTTCCCCAGGCTGGTCTGGAACTCCTGGCCTCAAGCTATCCTCCCACCCTGGACTCCCAAAATGCTGAGATTGCAGGCATGAACCCCTGCATCCAGCCCCAGCTCAGCTCTTTTTATTCCTTGTACCTGTAACTTCTGGGAGGTGGATAGAACACTTTGCAGGTGGGGGAACAGACTTAGGGAGGATCAAGTGATTGTCCTAAGACCCTTTGCCTCTGTGTCTGAGAGTCCATAGAATCCGTGCTGAAGACCAGCTGGCTTTAGACTCTGAAATTTTGTTGACCTCATGCTGTTTGAGACTCATGAGAGCAAGAGGTGTAATTTTTTTTTAGAGGTCATCCAAAGAGAGAAACTGTTAAGATTTTCTATGTCGGGCCGGGCGCGGTGGCTCACGCCTGTAATCCCAGCACTTTGGGAGGCCGAGACGGGCGGATCACGAGGTCAAGAGATCGAGACCATCCTGGTCAACACGGTGAAACCCCGTCTCTACTAAAAAATACAAAAAATTAGGTGGGCATGGTGGTGCGTGCCTGTAATCCCAGCGACTCAGGAGGCTGGGGCAGGAGAATTGCCTGAACCCAGGAGGCAGAGGTTGCGGTGAGCCGAGATTGTGCCATTGCACTCCAGCCTGGGTAACAAGAGTGAAACTCCGTCCCAAAAAAAAATAAAAAAAAATGCCAAAAGATTTTCTATGTCCTAGCAGTACAGCATTTTTCAAACCTTTTGGTCTTAGGGTTTCTTTAGTTCCTTGCATTGAGGATCCCAAAGAGCTTTTGTTTATGTGGATTATATCTGTCAATATTTATCATATTATAAATGAATACTGAGAAATTTTTTAAAATAGCATTGATTCCTTTAAGATAAAACCATAAACCCATAATATAACAATATAATAATCTACAAGATATTTTATTAGACTATTATAAGAACATAACATATAATATGTAACATTTTGATGAAAAATAGCTACTTTTCTTTCTTTCTTTTTTTTTTTTTTTTTAAGATGGGGTTTCACCATGATGGCCAGGCTGGTCTTGAACTCCTGACCTCAGGTGATCCACCCACCTCAGCCTCCCAAAGTGCTAGGATTACAGGCGTGAGCCACTGCACCCGGCCTTGAAAAATAGCTATTTTTCAAAACAAAAAAATATTTAGCAAGCAAAGTGATGTTTAAAAATTTTGCAAAATTCTTTATGTTGAGCTTAGCAGCAGCTGGATTCTTCTATCTACTTCTGCATTCAGTGTGTTGCAATGTCGCTTTTCATACAGCTTTGGAAACCCCTGTATACTCATGAGATAATGAGTGGAAATATTAGTAATATCTTAGTATAGTTATGAAAATAGTTTTGACCTATGGACTTCTTGAAAGGGTTTCAGGGATTCCCTAGGGAGTTCCCGGACCACACTTTGAGAACCACTGCAATAGTATGTTATTTTTTCTGGTCTCTTTCTAGTCCAGTCCCTCCCGTCTCCATAACAACTTGCATCCCTTGGTGATCAGAACAAAAGAGGCTTGAGCAAAAGTGTCAGATAGTCATATTTCTGAGGCCTTGAACATTTGTATAGTCTCCAGGTTATGGGGAATCTGCAGCCCCCATTATGTCCTGACCCTTCCTGTACCCCTTCTGTTCCAGCACCCGCAAACTCAAATCCTTAAAGTAAGGGGATTCTATATAAGAAAACGAAAAGGGCATGCTTCCTGTTGATGGCTGTGGCTAGAGAGGCAGACAACCAACACTATCCAATAGAGCTTTTTGCAGTGATGGAAATATTCTCTATCTGCACCATCCAATATGAAGCATGTGGCGACCATGCACATGAAATGTGCATAGTGCAACCAAGGAGCTAAATTATTTTACTTTATTCTAATTAATTTAAATGTAAATAGCCACAGGTGGCTACTGGATACTGTATTAGACAGTACAGCCAGACCTTGCTGATACTTAGAGGGCTACTGTAAGGGTTTACATTTTTCTCCGAGCAATGGAAGGAAAACCTCAAAAGTGTTTTGAACACGGGGCGGCGGGGTGATCTCATATAATTGGATCTGAGTTGTGGAGTCTGACACATGTGTTCATCTGTGTCTCCCTCCTTGCCACAGGCCCCACCATGAGGCCCCAGCCCCACCAGAGGCCCCGCGCTGCCCTGGCCCCCGGTGCACCGTGCTAGCCCCCAGCCAGGGCGTGGGGAGGGCGGTGGCCATGGCCAGCCACGTGGACCTGCTGACGGAGCTGCAGCTGCTGGAGAAGGTGCCCACCCTGGAGCGGCTGCGCGCCGCCCAGAAGCGCAGGGCCCAGCAGCTGAAGAAGTGGGCACAGTACGAGCAGGACTTGGAGCACCGCAAGCGGAAGCATGAGCGGAAGCGCAGCGCGGGCGGCCGCCGCAGGAAAGTGTCCTTCGAGGCCAGCGTGGCCCTCCTGGAGGCCTCGCTGAGGAATGACGCCGAGGAAGGTAGGCCCCTCTGTGCCTTGGCCGCCATGCAGCTGCCTTGGCCGCCATGCAGCTGCCTTGGCTTCTGATCAGGGCTTGGAGTCCAGGTTCTGTGCAGTAGATGTGTGGGCAAGGCGGGTCTGCAGACCGTTTTCCAAGTTCCAGCAGCCCCACTCCTCTTAGGAAGTGGACAGTCCTAGGAAAAGCTTGAAATTTGGCTTAGACTTTTTTCTTTTTTCTAAGGCGGGTCTCACTCTGTCTCCCAGGCTGGAGTACAGAGGCGCGATCTTGGCTCACTGCAACCTCTGCCACCCAGGCTCAAGTGATCCTTCCACCTCAGCTTCCTGAGTAGCTGGGACCACAGGCACACTGCCACCATACTCAGCTAATTCTTTTCTTTTTTTTTTTAGATGAAGTTTCGATCTTGTTGCCCAGGCAGGAGTGCCGTGGCCTGATATACCCAGCTAATTTTTTAAAAATAATTTTTTTTAGAAGTGGGGGTCTCATTTCGTTGTACAGGCTGGTCTCGAACACCTGAGCTCAAGCGACCTGTCCACAGTGGTCTCCCAAAGTGCTGGGATTACAGGCATGAGCCACAGCACCAGGCCTAGGCTTTTTGTTTAAACATCTTCATTCGTTTTTATGTATTTATTTATTTGGACATAGGGTCTCACTATGTTGCCCAGGCTGGTTTCAAACTCCCAGCTTCAGGGGATCCTCATGCCTCAGCCTCCCAAGTAGCTAAGATTATAGGCATGCCACCTTGCCCAACTTTTTTTTTTTTTTTTAATTTTGGAAACAAGGATTCCAGCCTTTGGCTAATGAATGCCATAATAACCTTCTTTCTCTCCCACAAATATTTATAGACACCCTACTTCTTTTGCATTACTTTCCTAGATATAGTGGTGAACAAGTTGGATCTGGTTTCTCCCCACCAAGAGCTTAGTACTCATAGGATCTGGCATTTCATAAAGCTCTCCTCTGTGCCAGACCCCATGCCTGGCACCCTCTGAATGCTGTTGCATGTATTTCTTATATGTAGCCTTTGCTGTAGTCATAAATGGTGTAGCAGGATGGACTCCGAAGTGAGACTACCTGAATCTAAAACTGGCTTTGTCAGTTCCCTGTGTGCGCTTGACAAGCAGACAAGTCGCTTCTCTCTGCACTTTGTTTCCACCTCTGTAAAATGGGGCTAATAAGAAAATCTACTTTAAGGGCTTGCTGTGAACATTAAGTTAGAAAATCCCTGTGAAGTCCTTAAACATGATCCCTTATGCTGAGAAAGTGATTAGTAATGTTTTATTTAGTATATTTTATTTACATTATCAGAGGATGTCCATAACGTCTGAAAACATAGATAGAGGCAATGTTGTCTGGGACATTTTCAATCTGTAAAGTGAATGAGTAAATAAATACAAACAAACATGTGTTTCCAAATTTTTTTTTTTTTAAATGGAGTCTTTGTCGCCCAGGCTGGAGTGCAGCGATGTGATCTCGGCTCACTGTAACCTCTGCCTCCCGGGCTCAAGAAATTCTCTTGCCTCAGCCAGCCAAGTAGCTGAGATCACAGGCATACACCACCACACCCAGCTTTTTTTTTTTTTTTTTTTTTTAGTAGAGATGGGATTTTGCCATGTTGGCCAGCCTGGTCTGGAAATCTTGACCTCAGGTGATCCACCTGCCTCGGCCTCCCAAAGTGTTGGGATTATAGGCATGAGTCACCTGTGCCTGGCCTGTTTCCAGGTTTTATGGATACCTTGTACTTGCCGTATTTAATTTAGTTATATTATTATTGTGTCTCATGAGCTAGATATCATGATCTGTTCCCTGGACAGTGCTTTAAGAGCCATGTATAATAACACCCATTTTACAGATAGGGGAACTAAAATAGGTTCAGAACCTTGACCAAGGTGGCAGACTGGGATCAGAACTGCCAGTGTCTGAGCTCTTGTCACTGCCCTCATGGCCTTGTAGGTTTGCTTCCCGTTGTAAGAATGAATGGAGGATCCACGGTTTAACCACAGCCCCCTTCCCTGGGCTTATTCGGAGGCAGTCTCGCCTGCTCATTGTGCAGCCAGGGTCTGTACACCTCCTGTTCCCCTGGTTCCCTTGGCCCATCCCTGTGTAATAAACCTTTCTGGCTGTCCCTGGAGAGTCCTGACCATGCTTCCTGGGTCCCTGCACACACCTTCTAGTCAATGAGAGAACAGAGAGGTGGTGACACTTGCAGCCCAAGAGGGTGCTGGGTTTTAGTCACCTTGCTCTTCAGGTTCTAGAACCCTCTGAGAAGCATAAGTCCACTTCCACCTAGCTGCAGAGGGCTCTAGGAAATGAGCCGAGAGGCATCCCTAGAACCACTCTGCTGGGAGCTGCTCCGCTGAGAGCAGGGGGTGAGCAGCCCTGGGGAGACAGGGGTGAAATCTCGGGCTTGGGGACATGGCCCCAAGGCTCCTTCCCACGTGCAGTTTGCCGAGTGATGCGGCAGCCCTATCCCCACGCAGTGGGTGGCTTGTCATGATGTCTAATTTTTGTTGGGGGCGGAAGTTCATCAGCTCTTCTCTCACCCTACGTTACTGACGCCCTTCTTCCCTGACAAAGCCCCATTGCCACTCCCTGAGGGGCTCTGTGCACTGGCTGTGACTTCAGAACATCCTCCCGGCCCCTTGCCAGCCCCTATCCCTTGCTGATATCTTGTGTACTGGTTAGAAGGAGCACTGGGCTGAGAATGGAGGGAACAGAGCCCTGCTGCCCTGTCTATGACTTTGAGCAGCTTGTTCCACCTCTGTGGGTTCAATTGTTTTGTTTCATTTTGTTTTTGTTTTTGAGAAGAAGTCTCATTCTGTCGCCCAGGCTGGAGTACAGTGGCACGATCTCAGCTCACAGCAACCTCTGCCTCCTGGGTTCAAACAATTCTGCCTCAGCTTCCCAAGTAGCTAGGATTACAGTCATGCACCACCACACCCAGCTAATTTTGCATTTTTAGTAGAGATGAAGTTTTGCCATGTTGGCCAGGCTGGTCTTAAACTCCTGACCTCAAAGGATCCACCCACCTTGGCCTCCCAAAGTGCTGGGATTATAGGCGTGAGCCACTGTGTTCAGTATTTTAATCTGTAAAATCAGGTTTTGAAAGCTTGCCATCAAGAGGGTATGGCAAGACTTAGATAAAGTCCTGGATGTGACAGTTCTTTGAAAAGTTACCCTGAGACTTGTACCAGCATGGTGATAACGACCTTTATCTTTGTTTTGTTCAATGCTTTTCAGAACCTAAACATGCACAAATACATTCTTCTTGTAAAAAATCAATCAACACAGAAGTGTACAAAGTAAAAAGTCCTTTCCGTACCTCCCTTCCTCCCTCTCTCCTTCCTCTCTTTCTTTCCTTCTTTTCATCCATCCATTATTACTGTTGTTAGTTTGATGCTTTTTTTTCCAGGTATTTTTCTCATTTACCTGTGCAGTTGTGGACTTAAGAGAAATATAAAGCCAGATTTCTTTTTTAAAGTTTTTACATAAGTGACAATATCCCAGATACATTATTCTGCAATTTTCTTTTGTTCCCACCCAATAGTATATCTTGGAGATATTTCCATGCCAGAACATGTACAGTACAGATCTGTGCCATTCTTTTTAACTGCTGTGTAGTATTCCATAGTATGGATTCACCAGAATTTTTGAACTAGCTCCTTATTGATGTAGATTTTTCCAGTAGCTTTGCTTTTGCCACAGTGAATGTTTCATGTACATGTGCCAATGTTTATCTAGAACAGATGTGGCAAAATGAAAGAGATGGATCTGAAGGTATTGAATTTGACTGAGAAAAGTGCTAGACCCCATGGGTGAGTCCCCCTGTCTCTAGGGGCAGCCAAGTGAGGGGCAGGGGCCAGAACACTGTGCTCTGTGGCAGGCTCTGGGGTTGGCCTTGGGGTCCACAGGTGCCTAGGTTTGGATGAGGAGTGTGAGGCTGCCATCAATCAGCCCTTGACCTCCCTGGGCTATGCTCAGCTTTCTGGCAGCACTACAGAGCCTGCTGCTTCCAGCAGGCTGGGAATGGCTGCTTCTTGCTGGTGGAGCTGGTGTTTGGGAGGCTGCCGGGGTGTTAGCTCACAGTGGCGTGGGAGCGTGGGGCAGCAGTTCCCCCGCTCCCCTGAGCTCACAGCAGCCTCTGAGTCAACCTCCCCCACCTGCCTGGGGAATATGAGTTGTTCCCTGAGAAAGGCAGGCTGGGAACTCACTGAGTTTTGTCCTCTGGTCGCATATTGCCTTTAGGCTAGTGTCCTTGCTCTTGGACCTGCCTGAGCCCTGTGCTCACTGCTCTGTATCACCCTCTGTCCCAGGCAACGCCAGCTCCACCCAGATCCTCCCATGTCCCTTGTGATATCTTACCTTCACACGTTTGTATATGTAATTCCGTCTGTCTGGGACACTCTTCCTGTAACTAACTCCTGTAACCCTCAGCTTTGAGTTTGGCGTGACCTCTGGAGAGCCATCCATGAGCCTTTTCTGCACTCCCACCCCATCACTGGTTAAAGCAGCAACTCAATACATTGCTGATGTTTACTGAGAAACAGTGTAGTAACATGGCTAGGAGCACAGACCCTGCAGTTTGTCCTCCAGGATTCAAATCCTGGCTCTACCATTTACTAGCTGTGCATCCTTGGGAAAGTTACTTTATTTCTTGGTGCCTCCGTTTCCCCATCTGTAAAAATGAGGATGATAATGTACCTGCTTCATAAAGTTGTTGGGGGGTTAAATTAAGTTGATAAATGTTGAAGTGATATGGTAAGAGCTATATAAGTGATATAAATTGTTCTTATTCTACATTTACATAACCTACTATTGCAACATATTCTGATCACCATCATTGTTATTATTTATCAGGTACTTTGTACCAGGCAGCTTGCCTTATACATGGTATCTCGGTTAATCCTCACAGCAACTCTCGGAGGTTAGAGCGTAAAAACCCATTTAAAAAAAATAGCTTGCGGTTCAGTTTACATATTATAAAATTTGCCCACTTTAAGTGTACAGTTCAATGATTTTCAGTAAGTTTACAGAGTTGTGCATCCATCAGCCACAATCCATTTGTAAAACATTTCCATTGGTGGGTGGATTGGTTCACACCTGTAATCCTGGCACTTTGGGAGGCCAAGATAGAGGATTGCTTAAGCCCAGGAGTTCTAGACCAGCCTGGAAAGCCTGTCTGTACTGAAAAAAAAAAAAAAAAAGCCAGGCATGGTGGCATATGCCTGTGGTCCCAGCTAGTTGGAGGGCTTAGGCAGGAGGATTGCTTGAGTCCAGGAGGTTAAAGCTGCAGTGAGCCATGATCAAATCACTGCACTCCAGCCTGGGTGACAGAGCAAGACCCCATCTCAAAAACAAACAAAAAGCATTTTCATCATCCCAAAAAGAAGCCTCTTGCCCATTTGCAGTGACTCCTGGTTCCCAGCCCAAGGCATCCATAATCTACTTTCTGTCTGTATAGATTTGCCTTTTCTGGCCATATTATTTACATGGAATCATATAATAGATGATCTTTATGGTTGGCGTCTTTCATTCAGAATACTGCTTTCAAGGTTCATTCTTGGTGTGGTATCATATATCAGAGCTTAATTCCCTTTCATTTCTCTGTAGTATTCCATTGTGTAGATATACCACATTTTGTTTATCTATTCACCAGTAGGTGAACATTTGGATTATTCCTCTTTTGGGGTATGATGAATAATGCTAGTAAGCACATTTGGGTACAAGTCTTTGTGTGGATATACATTTTCATTTTTCTTGGGTTGTTACCTAGGAATAGAATTGTTGGGTCATATGGTAAATTATGTTTAACTTTTTTTTTTTTTTTTTGAGGCAGAGTCTCACTCTGTTTCCCAGGCTGGTGTGCAGTGGCACGATCTCAGCTCACAGCAACCTCCAACTCCCTGGTTCTCCTGCCTCAGCCTCCCGAGTAGCTGGGATTACAGGCATGTACCACCATGTCCAGCTAATTTTTGTATTTTTAGTAGAGATGGGGGTCTCACCATGTTGGCCAGGATGGTCTTGATCTCCTGACCTCGTGATCCGCCCACCTCAGCCT